CAGGAAACGCTTTTAGCCAAACAGACACAGCATCTTGCTTTTCTTCAAGATGTTCAAAAAGGCGATGTTCGGGCTGCCTTCCGATTTCTATCCTACATTGACCGGATGGATGTAGCAGAACGACTGCTTTTGAATGGTCTATGCTCAGTGCGCGCCACACTCAAGAGCTTAGTAAAACAAGAATATGCTCGAATGATCAACAAACACGACGAACAGAAATGCCGAATCTCGATTCCAGAGTCTCGTTTCCTGTTTGGTGTTTGTGATCCAACCGCAAAAGATGGCTTCACAGGTCGGCTTAAAGAAGGCGAGTGTTTCATTCGCATCACACGGGATGGCGATGGCAGGCCACACACTATCGTCAATACCGATGTCTTGGTAACAAGAAACCCATGTCTACATCCAGGTGATCTTCAGAAGTTCAGAGCTGTTGATGTCCCTGAGTTTTCGCATCTGGTGGATTGCATTGTGTTTACAACACAAGGGAAACGACCAAGCGCCGATCTAATGTCTGGAGGCGATTTGGACGGAGACAAGTGTAAGTCCGATACTCACCATCTGCAACTGGTGTTATCTTAGGCTGATGCATAACAGTTTTTGTCACGTGGGATAGCGATATAATTCCTCGTACAATGGCTGAGCCGGCCCAATACCCTGGTGGCAAAGAGCTCATCACTTTTGGTGAAGTGACTGGCGATAGTCGTGCTGAATACTTCGCTCGCTATACCAATGGATCTCTAGGCAAGATCAAGAATCTTTACCTTAAGTGGGCTCGGCTCGGGAATGCCATGAGCCAACAATGCCAACAGCTCAATCGCCTCTTTTCTCAGTGTGTGGATGGCAACCATATCAGAATACCTGAAAATCTGGAAGCCTTCAAAGAGCTTGAGGACCCACCCGAACCTAGGCGAACAGTGGCGCCTTTCATATTAGATGGCCTTCATGAAGCATGCATGGCGCACATTCAACGGACAGCTACACTAGAGCTAGAGATTCAGGACAACGCAAGCATTGTAGACTTACTACTGACGCGCGAAAGGATGGCGATTTCGGAGTTTGAGCTACTGCAACTTCTGGTACAATGGTGCGATCGACACAATGTGGAAGTAACGGGGTATAGTCACGCTATCAACTTCAGTGCTCTGACGGACGAACAGCAGATATGGTTCCTCGCTCGATTGCCGCCATCGAACACAGTAACAAGCTTGGTTCGCAATGGGCTTCTTCAGTCTGAGCTTATTTCCCCACAAGAATTCCGTCTGTTTGGGCTGGATCATCCAAATTTGCACTGGAAGCCAGTTTTCAGCTCTGGATTCGATCGGATGGGGAGGTTCCTTCCGGTCGTGTGTCGCTCACTGGATATGTTTCACAAAAAACTCATTGTACTGCGCATCAACGATCGTCTTAGCATAGCCATTTATGTACCGCAAAAGGTTGCCCGCGCCAGCGAAGTAACAGTGGATGATGGCGTGCGAGTGTTTGCCTTTCCACACACTCAAGGAGCGCAGTCGCCCAACTATCGCGCCGTGCCTACTAAAGTCAACTATCGTCTTTACTGCGATGAGCATATCTTCCAACTCTATCAGCAGAAAAGAAGAAACACCTGGATATTTCTCAGGAGTCCAAAAGGTGACGATACATTGTACCGTGCGCTGCCTAGTGTCGGAGACAAACGGAGGGTGAGGGAGCAAACCATGCGGCAGCAGATCAACTTCGAATGCAAAGCCAGTGTTGCTCTTGATAAGATTGGCCGAGATATACAAACCCATATTGGGAAAGTTCAGAGTGAAGGTGTCCTGGGTGGTGTGAGTGTTTTTGTGCAATTGTTTGTCGAATTGCGCTAACAAAGAGCAGGAGGTGTACGTTATCAGCAACCGCGATGTTGACTCAATGCGCGTTCTCGATCAATGGCTACACTATGTCGATACTCAAGAGGTTGTTCCGCTATTCGAGAAACTGGAACCAGACTATACGACCCCAAAACTGGCTACGCTCAACTGGGACGGATACCCAGAGCTTGTGCGAGCTGTCTGCTGAGAGAACAATCTGTCGTTGCTTCGTCGACTGGGTTCCATTGCAGATCTGAAGGCGATTTTGGATCTCCTCAAAAAGTGTGATGAGAAAAAGCGTCTTCGCGATGTATTTTCACAGATTCTACTGTTGGCCGACGATCCGACCTTTGCTATTCATGGCGAGACTATTGTTTCAACCTTGCTGTGGTACTTGAAAGACGCGGCTTATCTAACCTCGACGCTTTTGCAGTCACAATCATGGGGCAGACACAAGCGAGCCCTGGAAGAAGGCTTGATTGCTTTGGCTCCAGACATCGCAAAGAAACTTATCTTGATGTCCAACGAGTTCGGCAGCTTTGTTCGCCAACCTTTGATGACTTTACTACACGAGTTAAAGGAATTGCCGATGCAATGTTTCGCTGAACTAGTAGAGCTCATCGCACTCACTGTTAGCTCACCTGAAGTTGCTCTGGATCTGCTTCTCGAAGTGTTCGAGCCGGAAACATCTCGACTACTCGTTGGCCGTCCGATGTCTGTCCATCAATTTACCTCGTCGCTTTTTGGAATCGCTCTGGATCACATCGACGAGGTTGCAAGTTCTTCAAAACCTGAGCGGGAGTTCATCAAACTGGCTGTCCACGAATACAAGGGTGGCTATACTATTGTCAAAAGCATATTACGTGTAGACTCGTCCGTGGCTGGCTCCCTGAAATCCGGTGACCATGTTCGTCTTACCATAACCAAACGCCCAAAAAACGATCCCCTCATGAAACTCTTCTCGATGGACGCTTTTGTATTGAGTATAGAACTAGGCACCGTCACTCTCAAATGCTTGCATGATCCGCCGCCGTATCTTACACAATGCGCATGGCATATCATGTTGTGTGGGTCTTTCGTTACAAGCAAGGCTTTATTCGATGCCGTGACAGTGTTTCATACTGAACGTGAATCTAGCTGCAGGATATATGCGTCTCTCTTAGGACTACCAGCCATAGACCAGATTGAGCTTTCAAACGTCGAGCTACCCGTTTTCAGGAATCCAGGTCTCAACACGAGCCAGAATGACGCACTCACAGCGGCAATGAAACACTCATTAACGCTCATATGGGGACCTCCCGGAACAGGCAAGACTCATACCATCATTGTCATTCTATGTCAGTTGCTCCGACAACTGCCGAAGTCCAGGTTCCTTGTTACAGCACCAACACACAACGCAGTCGACAATATTCTAAGAAGATTCATAAGCAGTAAGAGTGGAAAGAAAACAGGTACTAATGCTGTGAGAGTATCAACTCAGGTGAGCTGAGTCACCACGAATACTTATTTGAGGTCCAGCTTCTAATATTATCTCCAGCTGTCCAAAGTATCACCGGACCTTTGGCTCTTTACCTGCGATGCAATGCTGGGCCAAGATCTTACGAGCAATCCGTCTAAACGCCGTAAAGCCCAGCAGCGAATTAAGGAGGCCCGCTTGGTCTTCACTACATGTGCCGGCGCAAGTCTTGGTTTGCTACGTGACGAAAAGTTCGATATTGTTCTCGTCGATGAAGCTTCCCAGCTGACAGAGCCTGCGACACTTGTACCGCTTGTTAAAGGATGTTCGCGTGCAATCTTGGTGGGTGATCATGTCCAATTATGCGCTACAGTACAACAAACCTCTTTGCTTGTAGGTTATGATGTCTCGTTATTTGAACGTCATTACATCATGCAAGAACACAAAGGGGTAGCGAAAGTCATGCTCAGCATCCAGTACCGTATGCATCGTACTCTTTGCCACTTTAGCTCTACAGAGTTCTATGATGGCAGATTGGATACTGCAGTCGCGGACGACAGTCGACCACTTCCAATTTCACGGTTTCCTTGGCCGAAAGACAACCGGCTGGTGTGGATTGAGATTAACAGCCCGGAAGACTTGGGTGAGTGATCAAAAGCCAACTCCGGCCAGACCGAGCTTTGCAAGCGTGTCGTGCAACTCCTTACTAGCCCCATCTCAGGTACTAGCTCAAAGCCTGCAGAACTTCAGCAACGATCATTAGCTATCTTGACTCCATATACTCGGCAGAAGGAAGTACTGAGCAGTACCCTTCCTATGGCCGAAGTATCTTCTGTTGATGGTTTCCAAGGCCGAGAAGCAGATGTTGTGATCTTTGTTACTGTGCGGTGCAATTTATCACGCGATATCGGTTTTCTAGCCGATATGCGCCGGCTCAATGTTGTTATGACTAGGGCAAAGTGTGGTGTCGTGATTATTGGCAACAAGGAAACGCTTACAGGAGGTATAGAAGTGGGAGACGAGCAGGAAGAGAGTAGGAAGGTTTGGCAGCGGTTGGTCAAGAGGTGCCAAATGGTTCAGGTTTAGGTAGATATACTGAAGAGGATTGGTAGTTCAAGACCCTGTGGCACTATTGTCTCTGTACCTCTGCTAGGTTGCGGCGAATCAGTGGGACAGTGCTGAAGGGTAATATGTAAGATCAATCAGACATGAGTTGGCGTAGCATATGGCAATGATGATGGCTACCAACTATCGAAACCTATTACAGACGTGATAGATAACTTCCTACTACGGTCAAACTAGCGAGCGGAATTATGTATAGTGTTATTAGGCGTTAAGTTATTTACTTAGTCTTAAATTAAAAGTAAAACTTAAGCTTAGATTATTACGACTAATTCTACGTATAGTTATACTGGTTAGATAGATACTAGAAAGATCTATTTAGTAGTAGATTGCGTAATCTCGAACGTCATAGATAGATAGGCAGTGATCGATTAATCACAGCTATTATTCACAACGTCTGATTGTCAGACTGTGAGGGGTTTTCTGATCAAGGATTGATTTGGATCACTGTGATAAAAGACTGTGATAATTGATCGTGGAGTTGGAATGTATTGATCGTCCTGATCTCTGTCTCTCCGACGGTGCGTAGGCGCGCCGCCTTATGAGAGCTATCGCTATTGCTTTTTGTATCAAGTAGGCGGATGAGTATCAGCCTTGCCTAGGGGTAGGCCTTGGCGCTCGGCTCTGATCGGCCCGTATCACAGAATCCGGGTGCTTGATCGAGCACCCGGATTCTGTCACTTATCTGACACTAATAATCGATCGATCATAGATACTAGATGTGGTTGTAGACCACCTAGACTATAATAGATATCAGCTGAGTAGCTTATATCTAGTTACAATATCTTACTCCTGCCTGCTAAACATCTCACACAAAAGGTTTGACAAATCTAATCTATTCGATAGACTAACATGTATTAAACTTGTGAAGTAAAGTAACTAGTAAGAGAGTACAATTTGAGTTGACCACAACAAGAGTAAATAATGAAATCCATCCATCCTTGTATGCTCATTGTCTCTGGTCCTGCCATCAGAATCTGACCCGCCATCACGTGATCGAGCCCCGCGATGATCATTACCTTCTGCCGTGGACGTCCATAGGCCTTCAGCCATCTCGTCACTTGTCAAGGGGAGAATCCTTCTTGTTACTTGTAACAATGCGCTCGCCTAGCTGGCGTACTCGCTATGCAGTCACGTCACGTTATTCGGAGGTTTAGAAAGATCAAAATTTTACCTCCGCTAACGTGCATCTCTTCTAATTCGGGAATATCTGCTAGATGATAGAATTTCAATATCGTAATTTCCCCGGATTTGTGAATCGAAGATTATTAGTGCACAGGTTTTTCTCGAAGATAAGTGATAGTAACAAATTCGATTGGGCCTAACACTACGATCAGTTAGTTTCTTTCGGAGTTTTTTATCAACGTGTCTCACTTGCGTAGAGATGGCCTAGGGAACTGCCGATCGCTGGAAATAAGCCCAAAGTAACAGCATTACAATATTAAACCGTGATAGTGCTTCCCTTTGCGAAGCGTGTGAACATTCAAATACATCATCAACATTCAAAAAACCATTGGAATTGTCTTCTTGATTAACATCAAGACTCATTTCTGTTTCTTTTCTCCTCGCCCTTACGCTGCATTCTGCACGTCTAGTTGTTTTACAATGAACTTGGCTCGCAGCAGTTCTGATTCCTTAGTACATTCTCACGATGGGCTGCTAGGGGAGAAAAATGCTCGACCACGTACACTTGTCTCTAGCTGTAGCCTTCGGGCCACTATATTTTACACTCTTGCAAGCTTGATATGTGGCACTCTCTTTATCCAATGCATTCTCATGGTTGAGGTGCTCCAATCACGAGGACAGTCTCTATTACGGAGTGGTGACGACATAAACGGGATAGTCCCTAAGTGTACGGTGCCGTCCAAAACATTATGCCATTAAAACTAACTTGTTAATTGTTTACTATTGTAGTATCTACGCAGATTACACATTCACGTGATGAGATGGATCTATATATTTCGAACTATACTTCTGATGACGATATGGCGATTCTGCGCCGTCGATGGATAGAATTACTTCCTCGTATGTATTTCCTACGACATTGAATTATACATTGCTAACGTGAAGTTGTAGTTGGGGATATTGTACATGTAGAAAACCCCGAGGGGTATTCCTATCTACTCGATCCGATTATTCCTGGTCCGGGTTATGTTGTAACTTGGTACCATCAACTGCACTGTCTTGTAAGTAAGCTAGTTTCCGTCTATGTGTAATGGGAGACTCAGCAAGCCAAGAACAACCAATGAGAGCATAAAGATAGCGAGTTTCACGAAACAGCGCTGTGTCTCATTGGCTGTTCTCGGTCCACCAGGTTTCTTGTTGTACAGTGACGAGCGTTGCATTTCTCATTTTGCATACACGTTATGATACCCTTTTTCTAATATTCAAAAGTTTTTTCTAATGAGCGAATACGATCGTCTTCTTCGGCATGGACCAAATGGTAAAGAGAGGTCAATACCTGCAGGTTCCTCTAGTATACATACTAGGCACTGCTTTGAAATCTTGCGTCATTCAATTCTCTGTCATTTGGATATGACACTAGAAGGTGGCAGTGCGCCATTTTTCAATGGAACTACAGGATTCGGTCACGCTCATGTTTGCCAAAATCGGCAAGAAGCTATTGACTGGATGGAGAAAAATAGGGCCAATGACAATAGGATGATTATTAGGGCATAGTTAAGAATAGTTAATGTCTAACTAGCTCACCAAAACTGATCATCACCACAACGAAATGTCAGCACTAGTTACGATGGTATTTTGCTTACGGAGGTGCCTCACAAAAGTTTTGTCCTGCCAAGAATAATTTAGCCGAAATCTGGCCGCTCCCCTACACAACGCCTATCTCTCCCCTCTATATACTCATTGCCACCTTGTAGCTCAATTATCTTTGGAATATGTATAAAAATACGCTCAATCCAAGCTTGGATCTTGGCTTGTGGGAGATCTCTCCAGCAATTTAGCCAGATTCTAGTTGCCTCCGCTCTTGACTGTCGAGCTCCTTTCTTTGTAGTCTCTCTCTTCATGTAGAACCAGCATGGCTCAATACAGTTACAGTCTGGAGAGTTGCCAGGCCAAAGTAGTCTCTCGACGTTAGATAGACTATATACAACGTTCTGATACTGGTAGGCGTGCCCAGGTGCCTTATCCTCCATAACTACGGTCTGAGGCCTGTCTTGGAGACACTCTTTGGCGAAAGGAATCAGCTTTGGGATCAGAACGCAGCTCTGATATCTCTGCCAGTCTATACCACCTTTAGACGAACGCACTAGCTTGCCTGTCTGCTCTGTCCATCTCCATTGAGGCTTCCTGCGAGGCTTATTACGTAGTCCTGTCCTTCTCATAGATGTGGACAGCTCCCACTCCTCTGGCTGGAGAGGCTCGAGCTCAGTATTAAGCTGCTCAATCTTCCGAGCAGCGTCCTTTTTCTCCACGTTTGTCTCTGGCTGATAAATATGGCATGGACCCTTTTTGTCATACGAGAAACAGCCCCAGAACATGAACTCNGAGTATCCCTTCCACCTCTCACGGATACAGCTCTTGACTACTCTCTCGTCTGCTTTTCTCCAGATTCTATAGCCGCCACGCCGGTGGTTGAGTACGACAGACGTCTCGTCTGTCCAGATGACATTCTTCCAATCCTCTAATGTCCAGTCCTTATGCTCTAATGCCCACTTAAGACGAGCACTCCTCATCTCCTGTGTCAGTCCAGGCTTCCTCGTCGGCTTGGTCTTTCTGTATCCTGCTTCTCTTAATACTCTCCAGACTGTAGTGCGTGATATATTGACTCCTTGAAGACTGAGAGCACCAGCAACGTCAGCGCAGCTCTTCTCTCGTCCGTATCTATCACGTCGTACTTGTTGGATTATCTGCTCCTTTACCTTATCCGTCTGCTTTGAAGGTCGGCCAAAGCGAGGGGCGTCTTGTACGTGCTCTGGGAGGATCTTAAGAGGGAGAACGTTTGGCTCGAAACCAGCCTCAATAGCTCTACTATAGAAAATTTGTACTTATACCCGAATGTGCTGAATTCATTTTAGCCGTGCCTAAGCGCATTCGGATTACGGCGCCGCCGCCGGAGCTGCAGCCGCGGGGGGAACAACCGGGTAAGTGCGTGCGCGCGCAGCTCACAACACCGCAGCGCTCAGCCATATTTGCAGTATTGTACTAGTTACTGTCAATAACAGTCAATACCATACAATCTACAGTCGATTTCTACTGTATTGAACATACGTCACTACAGCTTCTGCAGTCCTTACATCAAAACGATGCCGGCGCCTCCAAAGCAGCGATGACGTCGACAATCGCGGAGCTCTACGCCAACTTTCACGCAGGATACCAACGCTATCACCACGTATATCAACGGCATTACACTCGAGGAGAAGAGCTTGCCATGGCAAACCGTAGTTGAAAACGTCGGTGTCGTTAAAAAATATCACAATGAGCGTGGCCAGCCCAACGAGCAATGGTGTAGCAGAGTTATCCAGCAACTACCCGTTGCTAATGGAGGTATCAAGACCGACAAAGCTATTGTGAAAGAAAAGCACGACCCAGAACAGATTAAGCCGTGCCTGCGCTACTGTAGTATTGTGGCACGATACGTGATCGAGCTCAAAAGATCAGACGGGCGACCCGCAATCGAGTAGATAGAAACAAGCTGATATTTGATCACTGTAAAGGATTAATTGGAGAAGGTGCCTTTCTACGTACGAAAGAAAATCGCAATATATACTACGATCTAGTCACGTGATACTACACCACAGTATACAATTACAGCTGCGCCCAAATGCACGGGACTGGCGTAACGTGCTTTGGTGTGATCAGATTCGTTGGACAACTGGCTCAAGGTATCCAAAAAACACCATATGCCGAGCTGGTGTTAAACATTAATACCATCCCAGCGATATACAGTATGATCCCAAGCACAAGCACGACTTGGAGCTGTAGCAGCATTCCCAAATATATGCTGTCGTGAGCTTCAATTTTGCGTTCGCGATACCATACGACGCGAACAACAAGAATGATAAAATGAATACAGAAGCCTATTGTTACACGAAGTTGGATGCTAATACTTCTCTTGGCTCGATCCGGGTTAGGGCGAGTAGGAATACGTGAATAGCTCCGTGAGAGTTGTCTGGCGATTCGTAGTGGAAAAGAGTTATGGTGTAGTAGCACGTGACCAGACTGTCGATATTTATTTAGATTTCTGTTCGGAGTATTGTTATTATTCCATTATAGTCCTGTATCAGCCGTTGGCTATTATGTAGGACTTTGGCTCTGTTCGGAGTAGATAGGCATCTTCTTCACTCAATTCACTACTAGGGATCGCTATTCGACTATCTGATTGCGGGTCGCCCCTTGATCTTCTTGCGCTCAATCTCCTATAGTGCCACAGTATATATTTAGCTTAAATTCACAATTGAAATATATCGTTATCATTAAGGTGATATTATCGTTGTGATAGGCCCGTGCGAAGCACGAGCAATTTCATTGAAGTTCTGCTACAGCAGCCGTTGGGCCCGAGTATTTATTTCTTTATTTCTTTAACGTGGTTCACAAGCGAGTCGCCCACTCAAAATCTCACCTAAAATCGCGATTAACATGTCACGGCGCTGGCTAAGAGAGTGGCGCGCGACGCGCTGATTGGCTGCGCACAGAATCCGGGTGCTCGGGCCCGCACCCGGATTCTGCAAAAAGCAATCGTAGCCTGTCTGAAGTAGCTCCTTGAGCTACGTCCTGTCAACTACTCTGCGCTAACCGTAGTACGAGTCCTGTTTGATACTGTCTGTAGCAATAGATCTTCATATTCGTGTCTGTCTATCTACCTGTTGAGCTCCACCGTGACATAACTGTTAAGAGTAAACCTCGAGTGGAAGTAATATAAGACTTCTGGTGTCAAGGCTCTTGGGTTGGTTTTCGCGGATGAAGCAACGGTGTATGAACAGTCTCTGCAAGTAACTATTGTATTGTAGGTACTTGTACTCGTAACTTAAGTTGAACACAATGAGCCATAAGGGCTCATTGCCTACTACTATATACTTATGGTGCTCGTAGCCCTCGCTCAGAGGAGTCCGAGGATTGCTCGGTGGCTTATGTACAAGGAGCATGCCAAGATGCCTCCTCGGGCATGCGCCACCGAGGAGTCACGTGATACGTACCCCCGCGTTAGCTACATATGGCTGGGTCGACTGGTCGTCGATGCTTCTTAACTTAACCGCCGTGCCTCCTTCCTTCAGGTTCGTAACAATAACAGGGGTCTTTATTTCTAGAAATAATTGATAGAAATCTCTAAAAATCTTAAATAAGAACTGCATTTAACGTCAAGGATCAGTAAGTGGGCCGGATCAGTTAGTGGGCCACCTCACCAAATCTGACGCGACGTTCTGCGCAATTGATCTACAACAACGCTATAAAATGAGACAAAACTTAAAGGATATAATTTTTTATCTAGCTCTACACTGAGTTCTTGTGTGGCCTTGAACGTGGCACTTCGTGCACGTNGGCGGCGCGCGCTGACGTCGCTGACTGGTCTCGCTCTGCTCGACCTCCGCGACCACCCTTTCCGCCTCTACAGCAAGCTGACGGGCCTGCTGCACCTGGAGTACTCCACCAGAAGCAATATATTGACGCTGTTGATCCTGNTTTTGTCGCTGACGCTGATTTTCTTCACGTAGCTTCTTATTTTCCTCTGCGAGTATTGTCGCTGATTGCATTGCAAGCTGAGCGCTTTTAGCAAGCTGGCGTATNGCAACGCTTGTTGGACTCTCTGGCTGCCGGCGTAGTCGCTCTTGGAGATAGCGCACCTGCTGCTGAAGCTGCTCTACTGTGTGCGGTGTTTCTGTCTGCGCTGCGGTCTGCGTCTGCGCTGCTGTCTGTGGTGGAGAAGGTGTTCTAGCTACTGTGAGCGACGACAGAACGCGATTTGGACAAAAAGGAATAAGGCCTGCTGCCTGAAAGCCTGCCTGGATATTTTGCTGCGTGAACACTGTCTGTCGGATCCGTGTATAGGCTGTGAGGAAGTCTATCTTATCAACATGGTAGACCCCATGGCGGGCGAGCTCCTCAACCTCGCGTCCGTACGCGCGCTTAAGAGGGGAGTAGCAGCTTACGTCTAGAGGCTGGAGAAGATGGGAGGTGTGAGGCGGCATACAAAGAGTAATAATCTTATTCTTAGCGCAGTACTGATCGAACTCTGGCGTAGCGTGGCTGCTATGGCCGTCTAGAATAAGAAGTCGATAGACTCCAGCTGTACGAGCGGCTGTATGCTGGTTAAAGTGCTTTACCCACTCTACACCAAGCTCGTCTGTCGTCCAGCCGTTATCTGAGACGCCAATAGCCCAATCTAGTGGAAGATTTTGGTACCAGCTGCTCTGGTGGACCTTACCAGATAGTATTATAAATGGTGGGAGAGACCAGCCAGACGCGTTGACGCACTCGATCGCTGTCACCCACTCGCGATTACCTGGCTGGACGACGACTGCTCTGCCAACTCTATCAGCGCTAGTGACTACCTTCGACGTTGCAGCGACGCCCATAGCGAATCCAGTCTCGTCAAAGTTGTAGATATCTTGGTCTAGAACGCCATGCGCCTGGCGCGTCTCCTCTACTAGCTTAAACCACGCTGCGATTGTAGCAGGATCTTCATATAGGGCGCGCTGGCTATTAAGCCTTCTACTCCACTTTGTCTGAAGCTCTGGCTGGCTCTGGATAAAGCGCGATACCCATTTCTTGCCTACAGGTTGTGGAGGTGGATCTTGGCCGCGCGCGGCAAGTAGAGCGTCTGCCATTCGTCGCACGTCGATAATATGGGGCGGAAATCCTCGTTGGTCAAGGTCTAGGATCCACTGTACGAGAGACTGCTCTTCAGTTGGCGATAGCTTGCGGTTAATAGAAGCTATCTCTGATCGTGCCTGGATACCACGAAGACGTCGTTGGAGCGTTGACTTTGGCACGTCATACGCTACTGCGAGGGCGCGCACTGATTGTTTTGGATTCTTACGATAAGATGCCATAGCAAGACTTATTCTACCTTCACAAGAAGTCTGTATAGAGCGTTGTTGTCGCGGCATTATGATGGTTGTGAAGAGAGTTGGGTCAGGTTGGGTGGGGTGGCCCACTAACTGATCCGGCCCACTTACTGATCCTTGACGTTAGTTAGTTCTGTAACGGGCTGGTGCCCCTTGATCTTACTCCTCGATTGTAACGATGTTACAACTTCGCTAAGTATTGAGCCAATCCCAGAGCCGGATCGGAGGAAGTATCGGCCGCCCCTTCATCAGCTATTCGTTTCTTAGTCGGATCCGACTCGGACCCGACTAGGATAGGTATATATTGAGACACTCCCTGTAGCTAGCTCTGTAGACTTTTGATATCCTTTCTTACAAGGCCTATAGGTGTCTATTCGAATCAAGGCTCGTTTGATGTCCCACGCACTCCCATATGCCTCTGAGTGACACTACTGCCAATACTGATCCGAGCAGTCTTGCCTGCGCCGTTACATCGATGGGATCTCGGGTCGTCTCACAGAATCCAGGTGCCCCGAGCAGCACCCAGATTCTGCGCACATGTCTGAACGACGCTCAGACGCCGGACCATGTCGGCCCGATCGTTGCTCAGGCAACTGGTATTGTATATAGATAGCTACGTAGCCCAGAAGCTTAGCTCCCTATCGAATACAACCTCTTGTATACCTCGCGATTGCTCCACGGAGCGCAGCCCCTTACAAGTTCTAACTAAGTTTATAGAATAATAACTAGTATACGTCTAAAGATACTAAGCTAGTAAATCTAAATCTATTCTCTACTCTTAATATTATAGTAATAATGTACGAAGTAAATAATATTATAGTTAGTTAGGTAATTGACGTTTTTTGTCAGCTGCCGTTCGTGTAACGGCTTGACTTACTGGTAAGCTGAAAGCCGCTCCAGCCGCTCTCAAGTGAAGCCCAACTCTCTCAGTCAAAGGACAAGAGTCGGACAAGATTCAGACTTGGGTCGGACATGCACCTGACCTAAGTCGGACATGATCCTGACCCAAGCCTGACCCTTCCAGGACAAGAGCCAGACCAGGTTCGGACCCGACCCAAGGGCGGGTTAGTTATCTATCCTAAGCCTGGCGGGTATAAAATGACTAAGTCCCACAAGTAGTTCTTAGGTAGATTTTTGATATTCTTTCGTACAAGGCCTATAGGTGGTCTTTCGGAATCTAGGTCTTTTGTGATCCCACGCACTCCCATATGCCCCTGAGTGATCCTTCGTCCGATACAGATCCGATTGACATTACCTGCGCCGTTACAGTTCGCGACTGAGTTTTGTTTTGGTGCTGGTGCGTTAATGTTGTGAGCTCAACACCATTTTTTTGAGCTGCGCGGGATGTAAGTTGACCTTCCACATCTTGCGAATCGATTTCCGCAATCGCTTTTGCGAGAGCTGTCGTGGTGGTGGAGATATCACGTGTTGAAAACGATGGGTGGATATTTTGATGGGGCAGATGGCGTTGCATTGGTCGAACTGTTGCGCGCACTGACTACTCGGGCCCAGGGATGGCGTCCCGCCACCCATGCTGCGCATGGGCCCTCGCAAGCTTAGGGCCCCTGAGCTCAACGATAAATATACGCTCAACAATAATTGCAGGCGTTTAAATCGCAATTATTTAGTAGCTAGTATATTTTCATAAAATCGATTCGGGAGCGATTATTAAGTACATATATAAGCTACTATTTACAAGTCTCTAACCTTATCGGAGTGGTGCTCGTCGAGTAAGTCGTCGTTGTAGAAGCGCGACAGTGGCGATGAATAGTCAACAGAGCTCTCCTCCGAGCTCTCAGCGTCCTGCTCAGATGTCTGTTGCGTATCAAACATAGCCACCTCCTCCGCCTGAGCTTTCTCCTGCTGCTGACGTACTTTAAGAGCTGTCGTGTCGCGTGTGGCAATGTATATAGTATATGGGTCGTAGGGCTGTCGGGCTGCTAGCCCTAGCCATGCAGCACCTGTCGGATCGTGTACGATAGATCTGTGCCACCTCTCCGCAATAGATCTACTATTAATTAGACACCAGGAGCTCTGCGCACTTTCTTTTATTGACGAGATATCATATTGTCGGAGGCCTAACGTACGTTGTATAGTTGTCCCCTCTATATGTCGCCTTGTAGACAGCTTACCAAGACGTCGTATTGTAGAGAGCTTAAGCGCAGCAATCAGGCGCTTTGTAAACTTAAGATTGCGCTCTTGGAGCTTTCTTTGTATCTCCATAAGCTCGTCTTGCTCCCTTTCGATCACCATTCGTCTGGCGTCTTTGGCGTATAAAGGTCCTCCCTCGTTTAGGCGACGTCTGTGAACAGCTCTCTCACGACGCTCTGCACGAGCAATCTCAGCAGCCTTTGTTTGTTGTAGAGCTTTGGCAAGTCCTTGAGTAGCCTGGGCCATTGCGAGGGCGCCTTTGTAAGTAGTGTCTAGGGCGCTGAGCAAATCGTCGTCAACATCGTAGTCCTCCCAGAGACGCTGTTGTAACTCTGTAAGCTGATTATTGAGTATGCGTGTCGTACGCGGAGTCCTCCAGTCCTGGAGATCCTGTGGAGCTCCAGCGTTGTCTCTGTAGACTTCTGCTGGCTGTAGATCCACGCGGGGCACCTCCATAAGTCTAATGGTGGCAAGGACGACTTCTGGAGCCCATGGAGCTAGCCCTGTACGTCGCCAGCCACTTCGTATTGTGTTGTAGGTGAACGTCTGACGTCTTATTTCATCGAGAGTAGCAAAAAAGTCGTCCTTTGTGATCTCTCTAGCGCCTGTACGCGCCGCCCAGTCAAGCGTCTTTCCATGATACCATTTCAATGGCTGAAAGCAGCCCACATCTAGTGGCTGCAAAAGATGCGTCGTATGTGGGGGGAGCGCAACTGCGAGTATACGATGGAGCTCACAGTACTCTAAAAATTCGCGCGTATCATGAGACCCATGGCCGTCGAGAAGTAGGAGCCTCCATAATCCTTTCGTACGAGCCTTTGTTTGTTTCTCAAAGTGCTGGATCCAGTGGAAAGCTGTCAGATCTGTTGAATAGCCCGAGGATGTAGTATTGATAAAGTAATCGTCAGGAAGATCAGTTGCCCAGTAATCAAGGATTGATTTGCCCTTGACAATAATCATAGGCGCGATTGAATGGCCAGACGCAGAAATACACTCTACAAGGCTAACAAGCTCTCTGTTATTGGACGTTGGCATAAGGACGTCGCGTCCATGTTGTGTGTAGACAGCCTGCCTCTTCGAGATGCCCATCCGCAGACATGTCAACAATCAAGCCAATCCAATCTCAGCCTCGGGATTGGATTGGCTTGTCACTTTACCCTCTAATAGTCGGATTGGATTGGCTTGGCTTGGCTTGATAAGATTAGATTGGTAAGATTGCAATCTGATCAATCTAATTAGTAATTAAAGCGCTAATAGTTAACTATAAGGTTACATAGATAGGTGATATTAGCTATATCACAACTATTCTTGGTGTTGAGTTTCGCCGTCGCTGTCGATATCGTCAGCCCATGTACTAATACTATACAGCGCGTCTAACTCGCTGTCAGTCCTAGTATCTTTGAGGCTGACGCTGACGCTGTCGCTGCCCAGCCCAGCTTTGAGCCACCGCCGTACGCACTGTATCGCCGCCAAAAGCTGAGGTTGTATCCCGCGTCGGCGAGGCTGCAGTAGATCCCCAAGCTCGCTGAACACGCGCTCACACTCGCAGCTTGACGCTGGGATAGAGAGGATATCCAGTGCGAGCTTACTAAGACGTGGGTAGCGATCGCTTACGGACAGCCAGTATTTGATTGGATTATTATGGTGTTCAGAGTCCCTTACTGCGCGCGGCTCATGTTGCTTCCATCGCTCAAACTCGTCGTTGGCTATAGTGTCGTCGCCAGTAGTTGTAGGATCGATAATGCCGTCAATAACGTCGTCAATATCATTTGAGTATATCTTCGGCCGCTGTATTGTAGGTAAAGTAGTATTGCAAGTAGCCCATAAGGCGCGAAAGCTATTATTGTTAGCTTGAAGCCACTCAGTCTTACACTGCTCCCACGACTTCTCGCAGTATGTTTTGTAGTAGGGGTGGAGTACTACAGCAGCGTAGTAGGCGGGCGTCAAGTCTAGCTTTGTAAAATACTCGTCGGCTTTCTTCCACGCTGCGCGCATGTTGATTGTAAGGTGATCCTCAGGCGTCTCGCTGTGGGCGTTATAGTTGACGCTACTAGCGTGCTGGATATGCTGCTCGTAGTAACCGAGGATATATTCGAAGACTGGGATAGCCTCACTGATACTGCCAAACCTACCAGATTTCCCGCGCCCTTCAAGGCGCTTCGTGGCGGATTTCAAAGGCTTGAGCACATCCAAATATTCCGTAACTACTGCCCAGTCATGTGCCGTTAGGCCGTCCGATCTCATCCACTGCGGCACGTCAGACAGCTTCTTGCCGCGAGATCTCTTCCATGTGTCCGCCACTCGTACTGCTTCTATATGGTGGTTGGCGTACGCAGTAATAGATGACTGTGGCTTTGTAGCACGCTCAAAGCAAGCGTAGTAAGAGTTCCAGCGAGTAACAACAGGCTTGATAGGCTCGAGGATCTTAGGCCTCTTATCTTCTGATAGGTCCTTGTGAGCAAGGCGCTGAAAGTTGTTGAAAAGCGTATACTGTTGCGGCGTTTTAATATAGCTCAAAACGTCTAGAAGTACGCCTAAAGGCCCATCGCGCCTCCACGCGCTCATATACCTGTCCTCAGTAGTAACCTCACTTACGCTATTATCGTAAGCGTCGCTGTCCTTGCCCCAGAGTAGCATTTGTCCAATGAGATTGAGTGTATGAGGGCCACAGCGGAGGCGACGGTGGACAGCGTCAAAGCCCATCTTCTGCGCGATCGCGTCTACTGCAGTGTCGTTATTAGTTGCGTTGTCAAGGACAAAGTAGCCAATACGATCTGAGTCGATATTGAACTGCTTGAGCGTCTCTAAGACTACCTCCGCGATCTTCTCGCCAGTATGAGCGCCTGTCAACTGCGGCAGCGCGATAGGTAGGTCTATTAGCTTGCCATCGCTGTTTACGTAGTGCGCGACAATACCTAAGAAGCCACGCTTGCCACCCTTTGTTGTCCAGCTATCAAAACTGATATGTATCTTACTTTGTGCCCGCGATAGCTCCTGGACAACCCGCGGCTGTAAGTAGTCATATAGACGCATGACGTAACATGAGACGCTGTTGTGAGATGTCCATAGCGCTGACTCTGCTCGAGGGTTCGCTGCTGCGATAAGATCTCGAAAAGCTGGTGACTCGAAGGTGGAGAGAGGCTGGTTATCCTGGACGAGCCAGGTGACTGCCGCAAGTCTAAAGCGCTGAATATTGAAGCCAGAGAGCTCATTCGCGATCTTCTGGCTAACCCGATCGCCAGTAAGTATAGTCTGGAGGGTATCAACTATAGTAGCACGGGTTTCTTTGAGAGGCCCTTTGTTGCCATGGCCAGGCAGCCTCTCCGCTAGATGCCGCTGAGCCGCTGAGGTCGAATTCGTTGTCTCATATATAGTAGCAACACGTGCCTTGATGCGCTTATGCTCATAGCAATAGCGGCATATATAAAAGAAGCGTGTAGGATCCTTCCGTAGCGCAATGCGGAAGCCGTAATTGTATATCCAGCTTTTCTTCTGGCGAGAGGATACCATAGGCTTCATATACTGAGGAAAGTCATCCCAGTTTAGGCCTTCAAAGCTATCCTCCAGGTGCGCGTCAAAGCCTGTATCACCGGGCTTATCAGTCGCGAGTGTGGCCTCCTCGCTGCCCTCAGTGGGCGGGACAATAGCCTCTTCAGTCTGCGTCTCGCGCAGTCGCGTCTCGAAAGTCGATGCCTGTGAGGCTTCAAGTATAACTTGCCGAGGTGATAGACGAGGTGACAAAGGCGGGTTTTCGATAGATATAGACTGGCTTGGAGTACTACAAGGCATGCCTCGAGACCGCTTTGATGGAGTGCCAAGGGTGGCTTGGACGCGTCTTTTTGGTGGCATAATTGCAATTGAGTAAGGGAAAAGGCTATAGATGAGTAGATACGAGTGGCTGACGCGTGGATATTATTAATAGTAGAGCTCGATTTGTGTTGGTAGAGTTGTGGGTGTAATACTAATTTCTTGAGATACCTAGTGCTAACGCGCTGCCTCAACCCTATAATCTGGCTATACAGACCCACTTTTTGCCAAAATAGGCATATGGACTGTGCGCAATCCAGTCAAGCCAATCCAATCTCAGCCTCGAGATTGGATTAGCTTGTTACTCACCTCCAACAGTCGGATTGGATTGGCTTGGCTTGGCTTGATGAGATTAGCTTGATAGGATTGCAATCCGGCTTGATTGTTGACATGTCTGCCGACAGGTCACTCAGGTGGTGGAGTGAACTAGTGGTACGGCGAAAAATACTCCGCTCAGTGCTCGAACGAACGGCAAAGCCCGGATGTGAAGGCATGCAACCCGATATGGAGCAGGATAGGTACAAAACGTATTATAAGAGATCGATAGACTCGCTAAGCATCCAGTGGCGAGCTGCCGCATGGCGGTAGAATGGCTGGAGGCGAACTAGACACTACTCAATTGAAGATCATGAATCGCTAGGCTTAACTACTAGCTAGCTCTCCTCTGCAGATGAAACAAGCATGGTTGTGCTGAGGATTTGCCTATGCACGAATATCGAGCGATTCTGTAATGCCAAGTATTAGCGCAAGGTTGAGCATATAATACAGTATTACCAGGATAGACATCTAAGTAGCCACATCTAGAAACTTGTTGAGTAACTCCCGGGCATGTGGTGTTATGTCGTTTCAGGGGCCAACACGGACGATAACTAATCTAGAAAGATTTTGAGGAAGTTGATTTAGAAGTTCGCTGGAACCTCCGGGAAGTATTGGTTCAAGATTGACCCATGAATAGCTACGGAGAAAACGCGACTGAAACCGAATGACTACCTATCTAAATCCGCAATTAGTAGGTAATGCGGAGATATGAGGGCTGATGTCGGTTGAAACATCCAAGTCATTCTTTAACGTACTTACTCGCTGTTATCGTGTTTTTTTTTTTAGAAAATCATTGAGTAACTGCCGAGTAGTGGTATTGTATCGTTTTAGGAGTCATTATGGACAATAATTCGGAAAATAGATTTTGCAAAGAAAATACGCTCAAAAATACCGAAGAACTTCGGGAAAACATATAGTTATCCAGCCTCAACCAATACCCGTGCGTACAACTGTAGCGACTCTACGTTTCTTGCGGAATGGATGATTAGGTGCTATGAATCAGTCAACGCAATTATTTAACTAACTAATTACAGGTTCCTTGTTAAAATTTACCCTGTCTAAAGCTTGATCTATGTAACTACCCATTTTTTTCTAACATCCATTCCTCCCAACGCCTGCTTTCCAAAAACCAAGGCATACCGGGACAGACATTAGGTGTTAGTGCAGGGTTAGAAGATTAGTGCATATCGTCCGAAAACTATTCGGTTAAATCACTTCCACACCCAAGCACGTCTGGGAGTAATCGGTAATTGAGGTCTCTTATATCTACTACGTGTATCTACCCCTCGTATTAATGTATATGTTTAGTATCACATTTGTTACTTTAACCCAGAGTACTTGATTGTCACATTATTACCAAATTCGGATTGGTAGTTGATATATTTTGTTCAGTTCAATTGCCTACTATACGTGTTTCTAGAAGTATGTTACCTATTTATTAGATCACCTGCTTCATGCACTGCAACGTGACTGATTTAATCTTGCGCAGAGGATCTTTAGGATTGCAGTTGCTCGGCGACGCAATAGCTGGGATGATGGGTTGGCCGTACAAGTTTTATGAGCACACCGATGCGGGCCATTTACATGAACTTCAGAAACTATATCGGTACGGACTCTATGCCCAGTTATCCCTATTACTTCCTCTCGCCATCATTTTGGGAGTGAGAGGAGTAGTCTGGCTGGCTGTAGGCTTCAAGCATAGGAACGGTATCTATGATTATGTAAGGTATCGGAAAGAGGGACAACATAGGACATATAATATTCCCTCTATCAAAGCAAAAGTCAGCCAATGGAAATGGTGGCTAGAATGCGATTTCAGACTTGCTAGTCGTACCTACGGCACACGTGGGCAGCTTCTTTTTGGGAGTCTATGCACTTTATGGTTCTTCTTCCTTTGTTTCGCTGAGACTGGCAATAGTAAGTTGTTCACTTAGATGTTGAATATCTATTTTACAAGATCTATGTATTAGCAAATTATAGGCGTTTGTCACTAACTTAGAACAGACTACAACCAATTAGCTAAGAGATTCGGCATGGTCGGTACAGCTTTGTTGCCATCTCAGATCCTTTTGTCCTTCAAGCACGCCAACCCAGCTGTCATTGCTTTTCGCACAACCTACGAGAACATCAACAGGTGGCATAACATTATTGGAAAGATAATTTATGTCATGCTTACATGCCATTTTGCGCTTTACCTAAACAAATACGTACAGACGGGCGTCTTGTCACAAGTAATCCGCCATCACCTGTTCATTACTGGCTTACCGGCATTTTTGTTCTTGAGTCTATTGAGGTTCACGTCTTTAAAAGTGGTTCGGCGCTTTTCCTACCGGGCATTCTACATGACTCATCTCTCGATGGCCTTTGCCCTTCCCCCTATCATATTCTTTCATGTACGTCCTACAAGGATGTACATGATCGAAGCCCTATCGCTTACTCTCGTTAATGCAACGCTACGCCGGTGGTATGCAATCACTACACAGGGTACGGTACAGCGAATTCCCGGTACAAGTTTGAAGAGGATTATCTTTACAGTCCCATCTGCTATGGCGCGAGATTGTATAATCTTTCCAGGTTCTTACGTTTACATCTCCAGAAAATCTTATACATGGTTTCGACTTCCAAATGCGCAGGGCCTACTTGGAACGCTCACATCTAATCCGTTTACGGTAGCCGCTGTCAGTGAGGAGACGTGTGAGTTAACCCTGATCGCGCGCCACCGGAACGGACCAACAAGTCACTACCTCGATAAAGTAGCTAGTACTGGCTATCTGCAAGACAACAAGCTTTTCATCCGTGTTGAAGGTCCATATAAAGTTGGAAAGTATTTTCCTGACCTCATTGGCACTAGTTTTGGTCGCATTTTGCTTTTCGCAGGAGGCGTAGGGGCGACATTCACCTGGCCAATCTATCGAAATATCCTCCAGAGCCGCTCCGAGGCACGAGTAGATATGTTTTGGGCCGTGCGGTGCCCTGCTGATGCTAGTTGGGTCGCTGATAATATAAAGGAAAGGTTAGTAGACGACAGCCGGATGCACATCTACTTCACCGGTGATACCTGGCAATCTGATGATAACGAGAGGTTATCAACAAAAGACACCGAAGGTATTGAGTTAGAAGATGAAGAGGGACCATGCCTATATAGTAGGGGCAGCTTAAAGTATGTAATAGGGCGCCCAAACCTAAAGAATATTGTAGACAATGCTTTTGAGGATACCCAGGATCGGGTAGCACTGCTTGTTAGTGGTCCGGAAGGACTAACTAAGGACCTTAGGCGGCATGTTGATGCCTGGGTTAAACAGGGACGAGATGTATGGTGGCATGAGGAAAGTTTTAGTCACTAACTAACTAACTACCTGTTACGAACCTGAAAGGAGGAGGCACGGCGGTTAAGTTAAGAAGCGACGGCGACCAGTCGACCCAGCCATATGTAACGCGGGGGCACGCATCACGTGACCATCTCGAACTCTCATGCACGAGGAGAAGTCTTGGCGTACCTCCTCGTACATATCCCACAGAGGAAAGCTCCTCGCGCATCAGCCACCGAGATATCCTCGGACTCCTCTGACCGAGGGTTGCGAGCACCACAAGCATATAGGAATAGGCATTGAGCCCTTATGGCTCGATGTGTTCAACTTAGGTTACGAGTACAAGAATACTATACGGTTACTTGAGAACCCTTTTGTCCTATTGCACCCTATTGCTTATCCGCGAAAACCAACCTCTAGAGTTCTTGACACCGAAGTTCCTTAACTACTTCTACTCAAGGCCCTTACTCTTAACAAGTTCATTTAAATACGCAGTGGATAGAGGCTTGAACATGACCATGTCGAGCGGCTGGAGTTGGTGAGAGGAGTGAGATGGTAGTACTACGAGTAATATTCAGTGGGAGTCGCAGTAGTCGCAGTAGTCGATAAAGTCAGGGGTAACGTGGCTACCATGGCCGTCTAGTAGTAGCAACTGGTAGTCGCGCTTTACTTTGTCTTTAGTTTGGCGGTCGAATACCTACTTGAGCCAAGATACTCCTAACTTGTTATTGCTCCAGCCCGAGTTACTAGTAGCAAAAATTATCTAGTGTAGGTCGGGTTATAGGTGCCGTGAATTGTCGTCGTGAAGGCCACTTTTGCCCTCAAAGATCACCATAGGGTCTACCCCGCTCCCATCAGCACAAATACAGCCAATAGTTGTTATCCACTCCCTACTGCCATCTCTCACAGGTGCTGTCACCTTCTTTTGGTCCCAAAGTTGCTTTGAAAACACCCTTTTGACCTACAATTCACCCTAGAAAGGAAGCCCTTTTCATCCATATCGTATATATTGTGCGGCTGGATATCGTACTAGTCAAGTTTATCGTGAATTAGACGGAAATATCTGCGATATAGTGTGCTAACGTGCATCCCTCCGTGACGGTCACGGTCGATGCCGGTAGAGGTTTTGATGGTGATATGTCAAAAAGTGGAGTAAAGGAATGATTGATTGAATCAGGTGGACGGAGTCCAGTTATGCCTGACCTCACAACATGATATTCGTCCTGTTCCGCTTCAAAAATCTTGTAACCCAGCTGTCTGACGGCTCCCATTACGTGATACTAGCCATACTTTTTTTTGACTATAGACCTCGTAAGTGGTATATCACGCACTGACCAACTACTTTGTTATATACTTGACAAGTTCAGTTTCATATTGTAAGCCCAGAAGTACCATGTATAGTCACGTGCTTGCTCACTGACTAATAACGCTGTATTTAAACTTGCTCCTATTATAGTACTCAACACAATACACAATACTTTCTACATCCACAACTGCTTACACATATGATACAGAAGGGTCGGCGAGACACAGGACTATGTCTACTAAATGCAGTAATTATTGAAGCAAATGTCCAGCAAAATGGTGCTGAACTTGAGGCGGGTTTATGCCACCAGTAGTGGCGGTGAGGCTAAGTACAATGGCACACCACCACAAGAGCTAAAGACTCCACTAATGATTCTTACGCTTGAGCGCAATATTGATTGTTGCCTTGCAAACGAGAACTTGTGTGAGAACATCAGGCGTACGCTAGCTGGCGCGTTTAACCTTTCTGTCGCTGGCGATCAAGCAATTAGTGAACTAAGAACAATGACTTCAGTTGTGCAATCACGACGAGCTCGTCAGCAACGGTCTCGTACGACACTCAAATCGTCAGTGAGTGTCATCTATCTACACCATGCACAGCGGAGTGCAAAGGGCAGACTTGAGACGGAAATAAGAGAGCTTAGAGCTGAGTATGCAAGAATGAAGAGCGTGTCAATCGCAAATAAAAAGCGACAGTTACAAACTTATCAGCCTGCACATGATCAGTTGCAGCTTGTGTAGAAATAAATACGGAAATTGGCGGGGTTGATGCACTATGTGACTTTGAATGATCGCATGCTGAAAAGTTTATCGTATTNAGGATCAGCGCTTGCCGCAGTGAGTAATCAGCTAAGCTATGGCATGGATAAACGTCCTCAAGGTCCCCAATACAGTTAATTTCTGATTGTTGATCAGAAACTCGAACCGAAACGGTCCCTAACAGTGTGCTCGGACATTTTT